ATATTGTGTTTTGACGGGGCTGTCGCAAAGCAAAGCGACTCTATCTATCTRGGGGCTAGAGCAGTTTGTATTTTATCAAAACTGTTTCCCGTGGATTTATTGATGTTTATTACGTTGCTGTTGTAGGCCAAGATCAGGTTTGTGGAATGGAAGCTGCATCTACTGTAATCGTGGTATTTGGTGCATCGGTGAGTAGAATTCCTTGCACGAGCTCRGCTCATGCTTCAACATGGTAATTTTTCAGATCACCTGCGTGAAGTAAGGTGGACTGAGAAATGATACAATGTTTCCTTTTGATTTTTACTCGTAAATGATTGTATGCGGGACTAATTTTGATTTAATGATTTCTGTATATTGGTTAAGAAGCGCATCGAAACGGAAATATTTTGTTCACTACGAGTTAGCAATTTGAAAAATAATAGTAAGCTTATCTTTGCATTTAAAACCGAATTTTCATAGTTTTGTGGTCTCTATTGTTTGTTTTCAACTTGGAAAAAGAATTATGATTGAGATTCCTCAGGGTCTCAGTCGGCGCCTGTGGTGATCTATAAATATTAACTGCACAGTCATGATCGTAAAATCATAACAGCCGTTTTTTTCCTGAACTTTAGGGTGACCTTGCAAAGAAGAAGATTTTTCCTACACTATGGTAAAATTAATTATTGATATTCCAAATTTTTGCTCCAACTAAGTTTCAGATAAACCAAAATACATGAAAATTTGCATATGTTTTCATGGTCTGCAGCTCTGACGTGGTTTTAGGGTCATTCCATGATTCTGTTTATTATAGATTTCCTTTATTYTCTTTCAACTGGTGAAAAACGAAACTTATCATGATCGAAGAAACGACCTCTCAGACCATTTCCCAATTGGGCTCCCTGTCTTTTTAAGGACAGGAATCCCATTGTTTTTATTTTATTGTCAACAGGTATCTTTATAAGGATGGACATCTTCCCAAATGTTGTCATATTGTTGGGTATGCAAGATCTGATCTAAGTATAACAAAGATTAGAGAGAAGACYGAACCTTTCATAAAGGTAATCAGAGAAACTCTCAGTAAGTGTAAAATACTGCCTTCTTCCTTGTTCCTTGCAACCTTCTCTTGCTAATGTGATATCTAGACCAATGGATTCACTTCTGGTTGACTTCCTTTGAGAAAATGAGGCACTAAAAGARTAATTTGTGTCTTGCCCTAGAGGATACAAGGTCTACACCCAGTCTGTKAAACACACAGYGAAACAAACCCTGCAGACCAGTTTTAGCTGAAGTCCRATGCCTTAGCCACTAGACTATCATATCTCTCTTGTTATCACTTGTAGATGTGCACAGTCATGTAGGCAGTGTACAATTCGTAAATTGTTTAAAACATATCTATTTTAATGTCTTTTCAGAATAAAGATGAAGCAAAGGAAACTTTGGAGAAATTCTGGAAGATTTGTTCCTATGTGAAAGGTCCTTACAATGAAAAGTCTGGTTATGTTTCCTTGAATACTGAGCTCAACAAGCTTGCTGATAAATGTGTTCAAAACAGACTTTTCTATTTGGCTCTTCCTCCATCAGTGTTTGTTGATGCAACACAAAACATTAAGGAGCACTTATCTGATAACAAGTAAGTTGATAAAAAATTAATATTTTCTTGTGCATTTTGTAACTAGTTTATATYGTTTGCTGTTATCAGGGGATGGAACCGTGTGGTTGTMGAGAAACCATTTGGAAAGGATAGTAGCAGCTCAGCTCAGCTATCAAACCATCTTTCTTCTCTGTTCAAAGAAAAGTCTCTGTACCGAATTGACCACTATTTGGGCAAGGAAATGGTGCAAAACATCATGGTTTTAAGGTNTGGCTTTATGAAAGTCGAAGCATGTCTTTGAAATTTAAAAGTGTTGTGTTATTTTTAAAAAAATAGTTGCCAATACTGTTGGATATGGTTGATTAATGATAATATTATTTGTTCTACATTCTCAGTCGTGGACCTTCTGAATCTGATGACCTTGTGAAGAGCATGGGATTCATTTACAGTGATACCTACCAGTGGGACAAGAAACCTAATAACTAAATCAGGGCAAGTTTGGCAAGAATTCATAACTATCATAGCACCAAAAACAGTGGACATGCCATCTTGAAGGAATTGGTTATGTGTAATTTATGTATAGATTGATATGTAATGAAATAATCACAAAAAACTACATGTAGGTTGATAATGAAAGGCTCAAGTACACCTGCAAACATTTTTTACAATTTTCTCACATTCAAAAGATATTTGTTTTTTAACCAATCGGAAAGCAAAACTACAGGTCATTAATACAAACAAGGCAATCAAGAGTTCTTGGATGCATGCTTGAGAGCCTTCAACAAGAACTAGTAACAGAGAAAGACGGTTGATTAGATGTATGTGTATCATTGCTATTATAACTGTATTACAGCGGAAATTGTTGCATCGCGACCTCTTTGTTTTGAAGTTTGTCTGGATTTTGTTCTTTCTTTCAATCTGAGGGGCGGAGCTTTTCRAAAACTTGTTCAATCATTGGCTGATTAGTATCAAGCTCTGCCCCCAAGTTGCAGAAAAACCTAAATCCCAACTATTTTCTTTGAACATTGAAGTCGCGATGCAATGGTTTCTGCTGTAATATTCTCTATTTAGCTAGCAAGCATCTGAGAATACTCCAGTTTCGAATTCTCTTTTGTGCAAGCTAAGCTTCAGTCAAGCATAAATTTTGATTGTCTTCTTTATACACAGAGTGTTTGCATTACAATAGGATCTCTGCTGATTAAAAGAATACATTACATGCTTTCAAGGTTAAGGCTGCACAAATAAGATCTCGAATTACTGGAGTATTCAGTAGTCTAGTTCTGGTTTGACACAAACAAAGAAACCTAAAGACAGCCAGTTATGTTGTCATTGTTGGTGATATATACCTTTGGTTTCACAGATGAGTTATGGTTTGTAAAACATCTCAATGTAAAATAGAAATGTCAAAAACATTAAATATATAACAATTGTAATTATGGTGAATTATGARCAAATAAAAATTGACATTAATCATTTCATTTAATGCTTTTGATAAATAAAAGAATGAATATTACATTTGGCACACTGGATTACATTTTATTGAATTGTTTACAAGTACATATTTCTCCTAGCAGCACTAATTTATGTGCAATTAGTAGATAATATGACAAATATTGTCAAAATGAACTGAAAATCAGTCTTTTACTTTCCATGATGATTTTTTTCAGTTTTATTCATTTAACTGAAAAGAAAAAAAATTGAAACTTCATTTGGATATGGTTATATATAAATAAATATCAGAGAAAACTAAYGACAATCCTTAGTTTTTGACATTGCTTTTACAAGTCTATTGTTTGAATGTCTGTTCATAGCTTGGTGGTGGAGGGAAGAATGACGCTGCAGGCTGTATTGCTGCTGCTGCTTGAGGTTCATAGACAAACCACATACTATGCACATCAACAGGATATGTTGGACCATTCTCTCCTTGTTTTTGATACTTGGCAGAAACGTCAGCTGAAGTTATACACTTCCACYCACGCGCTGCAAATGCTTGGAGGAAATAGCAAACTGTGCTTCTTATGTGAAGACATTCACAAACATTATAACCATGCCATGGATTTCCGTTCAATTTGAATTGGTATGAAGGACAAGATGTTTGCATTTGCTCCTCCATAGCAATACCCTTGTACCATCTTGACATCAAAATTTCTCTGCAAACACCAACCAAATCTTGTGGTGCATTAATCAGCCTTACTTTGTCTGTGTCACTGAATGACAAGCACATCACAGGAGTAGTGTCGGGGTGATGCGAMGGWGCCATCACCAATACACTCTTATCTTTTGAGCTTCTAGAGACATCAATTGACGTCTTCACATCCCAACCCTGACCTCTCATAGCTTCAAGGACTTTGGAAATCAAGAATCTTGCCATGACAGCTTCATTACCATATGACCACCATGGATTTCCAGATAACTTGAACTCCCAGCTCCCACAGTAATCTTGTTCTTTTTGGATCCCCCCCATCACTGTCCAAACAGCTATAATGGTTTGACGTACAACTGGAATCAGATTTTGAGGAGCATTGATGAGTCTCAGTTTGTCYGTGTTGTTCAGACTGATGATGAAATGATGGTTAATCTGTGGACCAGMAGCCTCAGGATCATACTTAAAGAAGAGACTGTCTGATGTACTCTTGATGTTGGCTGCAGCATGAAATACCCAGTGTTGCTGTGCAAATGCTGAAATGATTTGTACAAGTAGAAGCCTTGCTTGGACACCTTCATCRGCCTGTGACCACCAAGGATTTCCGCGTAACTTGAATTCAAAAGCGTTTTCTGTAGGTCCTTCTGACTGGATGCCTCGACTCCAGGTTGTCATGAGAACATTTTTAATTACAGCTACCATGTTGTCTGGCGTGTTGACAAGCTGCAATTTGTCTGTACTGCTGAGTCCAACACATATCATTGGATATTGGATAGGTCTTAGTGGTTGCATACTGCGGCAGAAGTAAAAAGTAGACAGGTCAGAAAGGCGGGTTAAATCACWGACAATCTTCAGCTCTAGACCAGTATTGTTCAAGTATTGTAGTATCTGGCAAATCATTTTTCTTGAGCATGCTGCTTCCAATGAGGTTGATCCTTTAGTGAAAGGATACCCCCGTATACGAAATCCATAGGATTGCTCRAGCTTAGGCTTCTCAGATTCAAGTCCTGCTCCCCAATTCTGAAATATAGCATCTCTAACAATTGAAAGATCAGTTTGGTTGCCAAATAGAGTTCTTATCTTACAGCAGTAATTGTTTGTCAAGCAAAGGACAAAGTACTCGAAGCCTGGTGGTGGCGGTTGGATTGGTACAGACTCCTCGGCACCCATATTATGCCTGGAATTCAATGATATATATATAATGAGTATGGAAGCGATTAAAAATAC